GCTCATCCTCAACCCCTCACAGCCCCAGTCGGATGTGCACTGGGAATCCTGGTGCTCCAGGTCCCTTCCTGATGGGCTCCAGATGTGCTTACATCTGGGAAGGCCATCCCAGGAAGCTGACACTCCCACCCACACCTCCCACCCCGGATGGTTCTCTCCTCTAACTTCCAGGCCCTTGAGCTGAGAAGCTTCAGGCACCCCTTTCCTCTCGAGAGGTAGGTACAAGGCAGCAAAGGGGAGAGAAAGGAAAGTCATGGGGGTGGCCTGAGTGAGCAGATAAAATGAGGTCAATGTTTAGGACACCCCAGAGGATCTTATTTTCCTTTTAACTTCCTATCTGGGGTTGTTACATTTTGCCGTAGCATTCTGGTGCCTCCAAAAATGCCAAAAATAAATTCAGAAAAACTCAAGAACTTTTGGAAGAGAAGACATTAGCAAGAGTGGGGGAAATTCCTTCCCACTGATCTGCTTAATCTGGATTCCTGACACTCTCCTGTCAGTGCCCACCCCTAGTCCCTGTCCCCCTGTGCCTCCCCAACCTAGTCTCGCCTGGAAAAACTCCCAGTTTTTTCCCCACAGAAGTATCTAGTCATAAGAGTCTGAGTCTCTCTCTGTCGCCAAGGCTGGAGTGCAGTGGTGCTATCTCAGCTCACTGCCACCTCCACCTCCTGGGTTCAAGCAATTTCCCTGCCTCAAACTCCTGAATAGCTGGGATTACAGGCTCCTGCCACCACACCCAGCTAATTTTTTGTAATTTTAGTAGAGACAGGGTTTCACCATGTTAGCCAGGCTGGTCTCAAACTCCTGACCTCAGGTGATCTGCCGGCCTCAGCCTCCCAAAGTGCTGAGATTACAGGCGTGAACCACCACATCTGGCTCTAGTCACAGTCTTAATCACTGGGTTCAGAGTCCTGGAGCAACAAAAGAACCCAAGCATCTTATCGCTAATGTCTGCCTTTGTCACCCTGATCAACATCTTTCATCCACCCCTCCTGTGCTGTGTGCAAACTGGGGATAGAAAAAGGAGAGGAGTCTGGGTTTATTTTAGGCATAGGACGCAGAGCAGGGGTTTCTCCTGGGTCAGACAGGGGTTGGGGATGGTGGAGGTGACTCACAGATGATAGAGCCCTCAGTTCCTCTAGGCAGAGACCTGAGTCAGAGCAGCAACAGAGCCTGAGGGTGCAGATGGTCTACTCCTGTACTTTCCAATTTCCCTCTCTTAGACATACACATACACACACACAGAACAGATCCTGGTATAACTGGGCTCCTATTCTATTTCTGGAAATCCCCCCATCCCCGCCTTCAGCTTCATAATTTTCCTAAATATCCCGCCTTCCTTCACTCTGTGAGATCCAACTTCTTTGTTTGCTTGTTTGTTTTTGTTTTGTTTTGTTTTTGAGATGGAGTCTTGTTCTGTCGCCCAGGCTGGAGTGCGATGGCGCAATCTCGGCTCACTGCAAGCTCTGCCTCCCAGGTTCAAGCAATTCTCCTGCCTCAGCTTCCCAAGTAGCTGGGATTACAGGCACCCACCACCGCACCTGGCTAATTTTTGTATTTTTACTAGAGACGGGGTTTCATCATGTTGGCCAGGCTGGTCTCGAACTCCTGACCTCGTGATCCACCCACCTTGGCCTCCCAAAGTGCTGGGATTATAGGCATGAGCCACTGCACCCGGCCTAGGAAGTTTTATTTCATGGACACCTCAGCCTCCACCACCCCTACCCAACCAGGCTTTTTACAGCCCAACAAGACCTGAGTCTGTTTCTTGAAACCAAGGCATCCAGCCTCAGTGTTCTCAGAATTTCCAGGCATTTGAGAATCTTAAAGAAGCCACTAAGTCTCACCCCAGAGAAATCACATACATACGGACAAAAACTTCCATCCAGTTTCAGAGGATTAATGGATTGTATACCCAATCTTCCCCACCCCACCCCAAAGACAATGGATCTAGGTTATAATTCCTACTCTAGGATCTTCCCCCATACCCCTGTAGAAACCCAGCCTGGTTTACAGGGCTGACATTGCAGTGGGAAAAGCAATGGCTTTGAAATCTACTGGGATTAGGTTTGGATTTCACCTCTGCCTCTTTCTGTTGGCCTTCACTTAGTCTCTTCTCTCCTTCAGGCCTCAGTTTCCTAACAGTAAAATGAAGATCATGATACCTTCAGTGCTGGATAAGTTGGGATAAATGGGATAGAGGCAGATTAAAGGTCAAGCCCAGGGCCAGGAATACAGCATGTGCTAAATAAACCATTATCAGTACTCCCCGCCCTTCTTCCACGCTACTAAAAATCAGCATGACTCCTGGCATTAGAACTTGCACCTGTATCCTGAACTCCTCTGTGGAAATTCACTCTTCTGGTTCTAAAACTCCAGCCTTCAAGGCAAGCAGGCTGGCGACAACAGGAGCCTGGTGAGTGTCCTGGCCTTGCCCTTCACCTTCTTCCTCTCCATCAAGCAGACCATGATTCATAACAGTCAGTCATCACAGCAAATCATTCCTACTGAGCAGTGAAGAGACAGAGGGTACCAAAGAGGTCAGGTTTAAGAGAAAAAACAGAGGCACTTGGAGACACACAGCCTTGGCCAGAGAAAGGCTGAGAGATATACAAGATGAAAAGAAAAAGCTGAGAGAAGATAGAGCATTTAGAGGGACAGCGGGCTTAGAGGAGAAGGCAGTGGGTTTGGAGTCTAAACACTTAGGTTCTAGACTCACCGCTAACTGGCTAGCCATATGACCCTGGACAAATCACTTCATCTCTCTACACCTATTTCCTCTTCTGAAGGAGAAAAGTGGACTGACGGCTTCTACCCCTCCTCACTGTCCTTTCTAGGTTAGCTTCCAGGCCTGGAGGTCTGTGCTGAAGTAGCTCTAATTAGGAGGGGACCCCAAGTTCAGGCTGAACCCTGAGCAGAGGAAGAGAGGATCAGGCAAAGGCAGGCATGGTGAGAGGAAAGGCAGGAGGTGTTGGGGCCACTGGGAGAGGACTTATAAGGGCAGAAAAAGCCAAGAGAGGAGGGATATTGGGGAGAGTAGAAAGGCCAGCCAAAGAATGACTAAGGGGCTCCCGGTGTAAACAGGAGCAGGGAATGGACAGGGAGGGGGCCTGTTTGAGTTGGCCAAGGCTGGGGGTGGAGTGGGGAGGAGGATTCGGGCAGGACGCTATGTCCCCTGTCCCCCACCAAGGCTCCTGGGAGGAGCTGAGTCACGCACCTCCTTCCCTGCACCCCTCCCCACCCCCACCCCCAATCTCCCAAATCCTGGGAAAATCTAAAGAGTTTGCCTAGACTGAGAAAGGAGAGTGTTTGGTTCATACACATGTGCTTTGCTGGGCTAAAAAGCAATCAGGCCTCAGCCCTTCTCCTCCCAAAGGGGGTTCCCAGCCCATGGCTTGAGTAGCTTTCACCTAAAGGTTGCCTTTTTGGCAATGCTTGGCTTAAAGATCCTGACCCAGAGATTCCTTGGGTTCCTCACCTAAGAAAGGGTCAGGACTTGCAGATGTGAGGATGGGATACGGGCCAGCATTGCCCCACAGTCTGGCCAGCCAGCCTCTCCCTTGGGCTGCAGCTGGCTCTGGAGAGGGGCTTTTAAAAAAGCAGATGGGTGATTTGGGACAGGAAGTAGAGTAGCAGAGTGAGGGGGAGAGTCATGGCAGGAAAAACAACATTGACTCTGGGCACTCTTATTCTGAGCCTTTCAGCCCAGAGTGGGGCAGAGGACTGGGGAACAGAAGGGACAGGGTTGACTTCAGGGGTAATATTCTGGAAAGGGAGGAGTCCTGGAGGAAAGGGACTGAAAGGCCTTGTAGTCCCCCTCCCCCAGACTAAGATAAAGGCTAGAATCCTGAAAAGTGATCTCATCACACAGAGCCAGAGCTTGGGGAAGAGGTGGGGGGCAGGGGGTCACTGCCTTCCCTTACTGGAGTCCCTTCCTCTACTTCCACAGGGGATCTGGGAAGAATGGGGTCCTGGGTTTCAGCTGCCGGTGTTTTTTGGTTTTTGGTTTTTGGATTTTTTTTTTTTTTTTTTTTTTTTTTGGATATAGCCTTGCTCTGTCACCCAGGCTAGAGTGCAGTGGTGCAATCTTGGCTCACTGCAGCCTCTGCCTCCTGGGTTCAAGTAATTCTCCTGCTTCAGGTTCCCGAGTAACTGGGATTACAGGTGCACACCACCACATCTGGCTAATTTTTGTATTTTTAGTGGAGATGGGTTTTGCCATTTTGGCCAGGCTGGTCTTGAATTCCTGGCCTCAGGTGATCTGCCCACCTGGGCATCCCAAAGTGCTGGGATTACAGGTGTGAGCCACCGTGCCTGGCCAGAGCTCCCAGTGTTTACAGCCGTTAGGAGCTGAAGGTTGGGTCCCTTTGCAAGACTTCCCACCACCACCACCACCACTCACAATTCTCCAGGTTTGTAGGAATCAGGTGAGTTTAATCAAGAAGGTACTGAGGGCCAGCCACTCGCAGGCTTTTGGTTAACTGTCAGATCCAAGGAAGGGGCTCAGCAGAGGTTTACATACCGCAGGACCAAGAAGGGGACAAACTGCAGCAGAATCCTCCTGGTGAACGACCCCAGACTCCTGGGTTTTCAATACTAGCAGCTTGGAGGAGGAGGCAGCGGAACTTGAGGAGCCGGTGTAGGTCCTCTAGCAAGCTGACTGCGAACGCTGTATCTGTACCTGAACTCTTGTGTCCCAAATCCAGCTGGCTAGAACCCAGGCACCCGGTGGCCCCGGAAGGCAAGGGGGAATCCCAGTTGGCCGGACGCCAGAGGAGTCTCCTGTCTCTTTAGACCCCAAAGTCTCCTCCCGAAAGCACTGAGGGAGACCCCACACACATATACAGGCTTCCTCCACCCACCAGAGGTGATTCCTTTCCTCATTAGGAAATTCTCCGCTCCCTTTTCCGACTCGTTTTCCGAGCGTTTACGTTGTACATCTGGAAAGGAGTGGGGAGGAAGGAGGGGGGAGCAGAGAGGAGGGGGAAGAACCCAAACCCGCCCAATCTAACCCAGTCCAGACAACCGGCTTCCAGCTGGGGCTAAAGAAAGGGGGTTGGAGAGGTGCGCCTCCCCCCACGCCCCTTAGGGGTGGGGGACGCGGGCTCGGAGTTCCAGGGACCCAGGAATGCCCCCCCGCCAGCCCCCTCGGCAGGCGGGGGGAGGGCTCAGCCGGGAGTTTGGCAAACTCCTCCCCGCGTTGAGTCATTCGCCTCTGGGAGGTTTAGGAAGCGGCTCCGGGTCGGTGGCCCCAGGACAGGGAAGAGCGGGCGCTATGGGGAGCCGGACGCCAGAGTCCCCTCTCCACGCCGTGCAGCTGCGCTGGGGCCCCCGGCGCCGACCCCTGCTGCTGCCGCTGCTGCTGCTGCTGCTGCCGCCGCCACCCAGGGTCGGGGGCTTCAACTTTGACGCGGAGGCCCCAGCAGTGCTCTCGGGGCCCCCAGGCTCCTTCTTCGGATTCTCAGTGGAGTTTTACCGGCCGGGAACAGACGGGTGAGTGAGGAGGGCTGGCGACGGGATGGGGGTGGGGTAGCTGCCTGGAGACTGGGGGCGCGGCTGGGGTCTGGAGGGGACCAGAGTTTGAGTTTGAGGGTGGAGTTTGGAAGGGCTAGAGCTGCAGTTGGGGGCCCGCGCTAAAGTTGGGGGCCCGCGCTGGAATAGGGAGGGCACCGTGGCGGGTGAGGAGGGGCCCTGGCGTTTGCGATCAGTGGGGAGACATGTGTCGGGTGGGGAGAGGACACGGAGCTGGAGAAGTCTGGGCAGGGGTCTCCGGGCCAAGAGAGAGGAGAGCGCGTGAATGGAGAGCTGAGGGTCTCTGGCTGAAGTCTGTGGGCTGCTGGGACCTGAGGCGGGTGGGGGCGCAGAGAGGGCGCAGAGGCCGGGAAGGGCTTTTGGGGGGCCCCAGGAGACCTCGGGATCCGTAGGGGCCATTGTGCGGGGAGAGAACGGGTAGAAGCCGAATGAACTACGTGTAGTAGGAGGAAAGTCAGAGACTGAGGGGGTCGGAAGGTTAAATGGGGGCCAGCCTCATCCTCCCCTCCCCCCTCAACTCAGGCTGGGGAAGACCCGAGAGAGGAACGGCGGTTCCCTCTCCTTTCTCCTCTGTCTCCTACTCCTCCCTCCACCCCCATTCTCTGTTCAGGCGAGGGGATCCGAGAACTGGGGGCGAGTGCGGGGACCCTGGCAATGGGGGCGCTGGGGCTGGGGGCGAACTCAGCCAAGGGCGGGTGCTGGGATGTGTCGGGAGGGGTGTGTGCGCGCGTGAAGGGGGGTGGGCGGTTTCCCTCTTCCTCTAGCTCTTGGGAGGAAGAGAAAAGCTGGTTTCCTGTAGCTGGTCGGCTGGAGCTGTGCTGAGACCGGGACTTCTGGGGCTGGGGTCGGAAGCTGGGGAGACGCCGGCTCCGTGGGGCCAAGAACGTCAGAATGAAGGACTCAGGACCCTGGAAGTCTCAAAGGAGGATCCTTATTCCCAACTCAGCAGAGTGATAAGCAGACCCGGACCCCGAGTGCCTAGAAAATGGGGTGCTGACAGGCTTAGGAAACAGGAGTTAGAGTGGAAGCAACATTAGAACCAAGGGTGTCTGTATAAATGTGGGATGGGGGAGATTGGGACGCAGAAGAGGTAGGTGGTTGCTCCTGGGCTAGGCCACAGATGCCAGATTCCTGGTCCTCCACAATGACTGGTGTAATCCTTTTTCTTCTACATCTCTGAGCTGGGAGCTTCCTACTGCTCACCCCCACCCCACCCCCAAGATCTCAGAGTTTGAGGGGAATTCAGAAGTGACCCGTTTTTACACATGAGACAGTTAACTGATCTCTACTCAGTCCCTGTGGTTTTGGAGCAAAGCAGTTAATCTAGCTAATACAACTGGGGAGAAAGGCAAATTCTCCTTTGTCTGGAGGACTTGGGGATGGGAGAAAAGAAAAATGATTAGGCCTGGGCAGTTGGTTCTGGGCTATTCAACGTCCCCACCCAACCCCCACCCCACCCCCCTGGCCTTTTGCCCAAACCCCATTGCATCACCCTGGCCTGGAGCCTCTGCCAGGCCTGGTCTTCCCCAGGTTCTCTCAAACTTCTTATCACAGCCCTAATGGAGTGAAAAAGAGGGAGGGAGGAAGGAGATGAGGTCTCCTCCCGCAGATCAGAGTATCTAGTTGTCTGGCATTTAACCTTCTCTTTACTCCCCACCTCCCCTAAATTTCCGTTTAAAACACTCCTCTAAAACATCTGGACTTCACACATTCCTGGTCCCCTAGGTGTCTGTCTGGCCCCTGGCCTGATCCTATAGTCCCTAAAGTCCTCTTCTAAAACAGGACCCAGCTCTCATCCCTTCCGCTCCCCTTCTGCTCATCTCCCCTCCCAAGAGAACCCAGGTGTCCAGCTTGCACTCCTTCCCTCTCATTTCTTATTTACAATACCCTCTTAGAGTAGAACATTCTACCTTCCCAGTGACCTCCTCCCACCACAGCTAGGCCTTCACCCGCCTCCCCACAACACAAGACAAACATAGCCCCTCACCTACGGCCATTGCCAAAGAGGGACAGCCTCAGTGTTCTTGTTCTTCCTGCATCACCTCTCTTGGTGAACACCAAAACCGCATTAAAGGACAGGGTGAGCACCAAAGCAGTTAGATAGTAGGAAAGGGCAAAGCTTTAAGTCAGACAGAGGTAGGTGTGAGTCCCCACTACTTACTAGTTTTTTGTGTGGTACCCTGGTACCTAGGGTGAGGTACTTAAGCTCTTGGAGCCTGGTCTTCCCGTGAAAATCAGACACCTAACTAATGGAGTTCTGAGGACTAAATGAGAAAACATATACAAAAGGAACCTGGTCTGCAGAGGGTGATCAATAGATGGGCAGCATGGTTTTTATGGGGTAGCTGTTTGTTTCTGGTTCTCTCCTTCCTGGCTACCGCCTAGTTCTTTAAGTTCTCCCCCATTTCTTACTTGCTTTGAGTATTTGCTTATACTGGTGATAGTAACAATAGTCTCTTATATTCCTTTAGCACTTTCATATCGATTTTTCCATTGGATTGTAACAAAAATCCTTGTGTTAAAGCCAAGAAAGCATTATTGCCCCATTTTTAGATATATAAAAACTGAGGCTAGCCAGGCACAGTGGCTCACGCCTGTAATGCCAGCACTTTGGGAGGCCAAAGCGGGCAGATCACCTGAGGTCAGGAGTTCGAGACCAGCCTGGCCAAACTGGTGAAACCCCGTCACTACTAAAAATAAAAAAATTAGCCAAGTGTGCTGGCATGCACCTGTAATCCCAGCTACTCGGGAAGCTGAGGCAGGAGAATCACTTGAACCTGGGAGGCCGAGATTGCAGTGAGCTGAGATCACACCACTGTACTCTGGGAGACAGAACGAGACTCCATCCCAAAAAAACAGCAAACAAACTAACAAAAAATAAAAACAACTGAGGCTTCAGGAGTCATAGAAATTTTAAACCAGAAGTTAGTTTAGGAAACGTTCAAGGGAAATCCATCATTTTATGCCAGAGAATCCAAAGCTTGAAGAGAGACAGTGACTTGGCCCAGGACACTTGAAAGCTTGAAAAGCAGGCCAGTTTCAGCTCAGCCCCTTGTTTCCTTCTGCAACTGCCACAAGTGGAGACAGCTGTTCTTCCCCAGCCACTCATACATATCCCTTGTGAATGCACTGGGGGACCCCAAACCAGGTGTCCTCCTCTGGCCTGGCCCATGCTGCTGTAGGACCTGTAGGAGCTGGGCACTGGTCCACTTGCTGCTCTCCACCCCTGACCTTGTCAGGCCAACAGAGTCAAACAGTAACCCAGTATTGAACTGGGACTTGGTTAATCAAAAGCTGGGGAGACAGCAGATATGAGAGGAGGGAATAAGTTGGCCATGGGGCAGACCAGAATGCTGTCCTAGAAATCAGGATTCCTGATTTCTGCTTCATATTCTGGGAGGGATTCTGAGTGACCTAAGCACATTACTTAACTCCTCTGAGATAGTTTTCCCATCTACAGAATGAGAACATGGGACGAGGTGAATAGCTTTGAACTTTTTCTTAAGGAGTGTCAGAACCAGGCCAGCCTGCCTTTATGACATGTGGCCTGAGGCACCTACAGTAAAGTCTTAAAGCCAGTGGATGCTCTCTACAGTGCCTTCTAGCTGTGGTAGTCTGTGTCTCTAAGGACCAACCCTTCCATTTCTGAGGCTTCAGAATAAATTACGGCAATTATTTCTTCTCTCAGACTCTATTTCAGAAGAGTGTACCTGCCAAACTGCATTTAGTAAGAAATAATGAATTCCTTTTCTCATTTTTTTTATTTTTATTTTTTATTTTTTTGAGACGGAGTTTCACTCTTGTTGCCCAGTCTGGGATATAATGGCGCAATCTCGGCTCACCGCAACCCCCACCTCCCAGGTTCAAGAGATTCTCCTGCCTCAGCCTCCTGAGTAGCTGGAATTACAGGCATGCGCCACCACGCCCAGCTAATTTTGTATTTTTAGTAGAGACAGGGTTTCGCCATGTTGGTCAAGCTGGTCTCAAACTCCTGACCTCAGGTGATCCGCCTGCTTGGCCTCCCAAAGTGCTGGGATTACAAGCGTGAGTCACTGCGCCCGGCTGTTGTTTTGTTTTGTTTTGTTTTGTTTTTGAGATGGAGTCTCGCTCTGTCCCCTGGCTGGAGTGCAGTGGCGCAATCTCTGCTCACTGCAAGCTCTGCCTCCTGGGTTCATGCCATTCTCCTGCCTCAGCCTCCCGTGTAGCTGGGACTACAGGTGCCCACCACCATGCCTGGCTAATATTTTTGTATTTTTAGTAGAGACGGAGTTTCACCATGTTAAACCAGGATGGTCTCGATCTCCTGACCTTGTGATCCGCCCGTCTCAGCCTCCCAAAGTGCTGGGATTACAGGCGTAAGCCACCGCATCCGATGCTTTTCTCGTTTTTTATTAACCAAAAACATCTATAGCTGCCAATCAGAGTTTCTGACCAGCATAAGATAACCAGGTTCCCACATAAGTTGATATAATTCCAGCCAAAAGCAAATACACTTTTAATTAGCCTCGGCCACCTTATCTGGTAAATGCATGATTTCCGTTAGCCTTTCTGAAATCTTGAAAATAGCCCACGGACCCTTCATTGTTACCTTCTTAGACCCCTAAAAGCGCCCAACTGCTGCAGGATTTAGGAAGCAGGAACAAGATGTGGGAAAACAAAGACAAACTAGCTTGCATGCCATCCCTGGTGCCAGTCACCTCACTTGGCCTGTTGGCAGGGGAGCCACTATTTATTGGATTGACTTAAGGTTGCTGGGATGGAAGGGCCACTGACTCTCCAGGTATAAGCCATGGGTAATGTGGCAGGAGGAAAGGAGGCCTGGGTCTGTGTCACTTGCCTGCATGCCAGGTATCTTGAACCATCACACAGCCGGAATGGATATGCCCCTGACTTGTGGGCTTTACAAGCTTTGTAAACTCTCTGTCTTGCCACCTGCTAAACTCCAGGCTACTTCCTCAGGCCACCCCAGAAGTGTCAGGCTCAGCTCCTCTCCAAGAGCAGTGGGTGTTGGAGAAATTGGGAACAGGAACAGGGTCCCTTGGCCTTAGCCTGGAGATCTAGGAAAACTTTGAGATAACCTCTTCTTCACCCAGAGGAAGAGGGAGAGGGTACTGCCCAAGTCCACAGTTAGTGCCTGAACCAGAACTCTTGGCTTCTGGTCCAGTGCTCCTTTCACTGCTTCCTGTACCTCTACTGTTCTGGTCTAGTTCAGGTTGGTGGCCCTTTCTGCTTTCTAGAACCTGAAGGCAGCAACCAAGTTCTCTGGGGGCTGCCCCTGCTGAGAGAGGGGTCTACTCCTCTCACCTCACCCAGCCCTGGGGCGGCGCAGCCAGACCCCCCAGTTGGATGTCATGCCTGAGTGAGAAGGGTGGGGCCTGGCAGGGAGGTGGGGGTGTGGGAGACAAACGGAGAAGTGAGAGGTTGGAAACAGACAGGAAGCCACAGGCAGTAAACATTTCCTGTCCCCAGAGTAACGGAGACTGGCACCTCCCCTCCCCACCCCCTAACTTCAGGAGCTCTCCCTCTTCAGCCTACCCACCTCCTATTCCTCTGGACCCTGCCTTCTCTCCCCTCCATTCTCACCACTGGCCCTCACAGACCCCTCCTCTCTCCCCACTTCCGTCCCCTCGGAACTGTCCTCTCTGCTGCTTCCATCCCCTATATCTCCCGGGCCACTCCTCCCTGCCTCAGTATACCTGGTCTTCTTGGAAAATACCCCCAGCTCTTGTAACCTCTACCATAATCCCTCACTTTGGGCCTTCTTGCCTAGTGAGAAAGCTGAGGAAGGTATTCAAATATCAGGGAAGGGGTAGGTATTGGATGGGCTGAAAGCTGAAAGTGGACAGAAACCAATAGAGATGGAGAAATGTAAAATCTGAGATAGAGAGATAGAATCCAAAAACCAAAACCAAGAGAGCAGCAGTCATAGGGGCAGAGGGACAGAGAGATTGAGAAGCAGTGCCAAAGGCTGACACGGAGCAGAGCAGAGGCCAAGGCTGGCAGGGGCACTGGTCCAGAGGCTGGGTCGAGTTGCCCAGGCAGCCAGATACAACTCCTGGCAGGAGACCCTTAGGGGAAAGCCAAGAGAGCCAAGAGCTGTGTGGAGGTCTTGGAGGCAAGGGACCGAGGGATGAATGAGGCAGAGTTGACGGCAGGAGGACTGCCCAGCCCCTTAGCTATGACCACCCCATTACATAGGACCTCCAACAGAGGAAAACTTTTCGTCTCAGGGGGAACGGAGGCACTGTGTCCAGAACTAGGACCCCGGTAGAGAAGACTCTGAATTCAGTCAGCTGGGGGTGGTCCATGAGAAAGGGGTTCAAGGGCTGAGACAGAGACCCAGCCAGGAAGGGGAGGTCCACACCAGGGCCGGTGAGGGCAGGCCCAGGCCCAGTGGAACAATCTGTTTTCACTGTCCTCCAGCTCCTCTCTCCACTCCTGCTGCCTGATTTCCAAGACTCACATTTTCCTCCTACACGCCCCAAGGCCGGGTGGCTGGGCAGCCGGATGCCTGGGTCTTGGCCCAGGGAGGGGATTTGGCTTGGGAGGAGAGTATATAGGCTAGATGAGAGACCCTGAGGCTCCACAGGACCTTGGGGTTCCAGAGGCTACACATCTAATCTCAGCAGGTACATAGAGGAGAGGGAGAAGCCGGGGGTACAGGCTTTGGCCCCTCTTCCCCTTCTGGGAATTGACTCTGGTTCTTCTTCTCTTTATGAACAGGGGAAGGTAGGAGAGGACAGAGAATGGCAGGAGGAGAAGAGGGTTGTGTTAGTGACAGCGGCACATGGGGACCGCCTGACTCCAGTCTGTGCCTCTGGCATCTGTGGCATCTTCTGAGATATAAATACAACCCAGGGGGCATCTCCTCCACCCCCAGCCAGCCCCAGCCTAGAGGCCTGGGTCCTTCCTGCCTCCAGACACCGATGAAGAGCTAGGAGCCATCCTGAACTGCCTCTCTTTTCCCCTTCACAGGGTCAGTGTGCTGGTGGGAGCACCCAAGGCTAACACCAGCCAGCCAGGAGTGCTGCAGGGTGGTGCTGTCTACCTCTGTCCTTGGGGCGCCAGCCCCACACAGTGCACCCCCATTGAATTTGACAGCAAAGGTAGGCCAGTGAAATTCAGAAAGGGACTGTGGGGTGGGACCGCAGCCTGGGGGCAAGGCCTGGGTGGGGCCTGGGGTGAGGGGTGGAGCCTGCTGGAACCCCCAGCCACGTGACCGCTCAGCACCAGCTCTGGTGCTCCAACTGCTTACAGTGGATCCCCGTGGCACTCACTCCACGCTCCCGTCCAGCCCAGCCCAAGGAGGATGGGCATGATTCAGAAACATGTGGCTCTCATTTCCCCTGAATCACCCACAATTCTGGGAGGCCAGGGCCGTAACACAGACAAAGACAGGGAAATGTTGCACAAACTCTTCAGTTGCTTTAACGAAGTACTGACTAAGTGACAGTGCATGACAGGCACTTGCTGGTGCTGCAGGGATTGAAACATGACGAAGCCACTGCCCTCAGGAGCTCAAGGTCTGAGTAGACACAGATGGATGGGAGGAAGACAGAGACTAACAGCTATCAGTTGCTCTGTGCCAGGCCCAGTTGTGAACACTTTACATGTATTAGTTCACTTAATCCTTTCAACAACTGTATAAGGTATTATTATCCCCATTTTCTAAGTGAGGAGACAGAGGTTAAGTAGCTTATCCAAGGTTATACAGCTAGCAAACATTGGAGTGAGGTTATGAACTAGGGCCATCTGTCTCCAGAAATAAAAACTGGAGAGGCTGGGCACAGTGGCACACATCTATAATCCCAGCACTTTGGGAGGCTGAGGCAGGAGGATCACTTGGTCCCAGGAGTTCATGACCATCCTGGCCAACATAGTGAGACCCTGTCTCTACCAAAAACATTAGACAGGGCCAGGCGCAGTGGCTCATGCCTGTAATCCCAGCACTTTGGGAGGCTGAGGCAGGTGGATCACTTGAGGCCAAGAGTTTGAGACCAGACTGGCCATCATGGCAAAACCCCATCTCTACTAAATATACAAAAACTAGCCAGTCATGGTGGCACTTGCCTATAATCCCAGCTACTTGGGAAGCTGAGGCACAAGAATTACTTGAGCCCAGGAGGCAGAGGTTGCAGTAAGCTGAAATCACGTCACTGTACTCCAGCATGGGCTACAGAGAAAGACTCTGTCTCAAAAAAAAAAAAATGAGCCAGGCATAGTGGTGAGCACTTATAGTCCCAGCTACTTGGGAGGCTAAGGTGGGAGGATCACTTGAGTGGGGAGGCCAAGGCTGCAATGAGTGGTACTTGCCCCACTGCCCTGCAGCCTGAGTGACAGAGCAAGACCCTGTTTAAAAAATAAAATTTTTTTTTTTTTTTTTTTTTTTTGAGACGGAGTCTTGCTCTGTCGCCCGGGCTGGAGTGCAGTGGCCGGATCTCAGCTCACTGCAAGCTCCGCCTCCCGTGTTTACGCCATTCTCCTGCCTCAGCCTCCCGAGTAGCTGGGACTACAGGCGCCCGCCACCTCGCCCGGCTAGTTTTTTTGTGTGTGTGTGTGTTTTTAGTAGAGACGGGGTTTCACCGTGTTAGCCAGGATGGTCTCGATCTCCTGACCTCGTGATCCACCCGTCTCGGCCTCCCAAAGTGCTGGGATTACAGACTTGAGCCACCGCGCCCGGCCAAAAAATAAAAATTTTTAAAAACCTGGGCAACATGGCAAAACCTCATCTGTACAAAAAACACAAAAATTAGCTGGGCATAGTTTCCACCCACTTAGGGGGTTGAGGTGGGAGGATCACTTGCACCTGGGAGGTCAAGGTTGCAGTGAGCTGTAATCACGCCACTGCACTCCAGCCTGGGCAACAGAGTGAGACCCTACCTCAAAAAAAAAGGAGGTGGAACAAGATGCTGCTAGAGACCGAGCCCAAGTACAGACAAAGAAGTTCAGCCAAAGGGTTACTCTCTTGGGAAATAGCCACTGTTCCCCACCACCCTCCTGCCCCTACTCCACAGCAGGCATCCTTATCTCAGTTGGGTGAGAAAGCAGGAACTATGGGGAGGCAACTCTAGAAAGCCCAGGTTCTGTGTGCGTGTGCGTGTGTGTGTATGTGTGTGTGTGTATGTGTATGTGTGTAGTGGAGAGGTGAGTCAGGCTACACAAACAGGCTATACAAAGCAGAATTAAGCTCCTTACCAACTCCGCACTCCCAGTGAGTCATGGCATCTCAGGGCTTGGAAGTGTTTGTTGGGTATCCCCAGGCTGAGGGTAGGGGCTGCCCTAGAGCTCAGCTGTCCATGGCTCAGCAAGACTCCCTCTTTTCACTCCCACAAGGCTCTCGGCTCCTGGAGTCCTCACTGTCCAGCTCAGAGGGAGAGGAACCTGTGGAGTACAAGTCCTTGCAGTGGTTCGGGGCAACAGTTCGAGCCCATGGCTCCTCCATCTTGGTGAGGGGCCAGCAGGCTCAGTGGTGTGGTGGCCAGGGGATGGGCAGTGGTTGGATAAAGCCGGGCCTGGAGGGAAGGAGGAAGGGCCTTACTGGACTGAATCTGAGGCCCCTCCTCCTGGGCCTTCCCAGGCATGCGCTCCACTGTACAGCTGGCGCACAGAGAAGGAGCCACTGAGCGACCCCGTGGGTACCTGCTACCTCTCCACAAATAACTTCACCCGAATTCTGGAGTATGCACCTTGCCGCTCAGGTAGGGGAAAGAGGGGGCCTGTGCCCCATGTCTGCCTTCTCATATCCTTGGAGTGTCTCATATACTTAGGGCTAACTCGTGCCCCCCACCACATACCCCCATGAGATTCTAAGTTGCTTAAGATAAAGGTTAACCCAGTTAGCCTTTATGCTTACTGTCTGGTCCAGGGAGGCCCTTTCTCTGGTTCTCTCTCCCACCCCCTTCCCTATGCCCTCTCTTCTTTCCTGGATGACCCATCTGTGCAGGGCTCATTTTCACCACCTTCTCCCGTCACAGATTTCAGCTGGGCAGCAGGACAGGGTTACTGCCAAGGAGGCTTCAGTGCTGAGTTCACCAAGGTGAGAGTGTGGTCTGGGAGAGAAGGGGCCGTGGGTGGTGGACACGGGGGCATCGAGACCAGATGTTAGACTCCCCTCCTTTCACCCACAGACTGGCCGTGTGGTTTTAGGTGGACCAGGAAGCTATTTCTGGCAAGGTAAGTCCTCTCTCTGCCATTCTTTGTTTTTTTTTTTTTTTTGAGACGAAGTCTCACTCTGTCACCCAGGCTGGAGTGCAGTGGCACAACTTCTGCTGCCCAGGTTCAAGCGATTCTCCTGCCTCAGCCTCCCAAGTAGCTGGGATTACAGGTGCCTGCCACCACACCTGGCTAATTTTTGTAATTTTAGTAGAGATGGGGTTTCGCCATCTTGGCCAGGCTGGTCTTAGACTCCTGATCCACCTGCCTTGGCCTCCCAAAGTGCTGGGATTGTAGGCATGAGCCACCGTGCCCAGCGTGTTTCTGCCATTCTTTAAGTTACCTGGCACATAGCCTCCCACCCTACTCCCAATTCTCCTCTTCCTTTCCTGAAACTTACATGCCACCACCCTCCCCATGCTTCCCTTTCTTGAACCAGACTTCTGAAATACTACCCAGTCAGCCCCCAGAGCCCCAAGCCCCCTCTGCCACCTCCCCACCATCTACTCCCCAGGCCAGATCCTGTCTGCCACTCAGGAGCAGATTGCAGAATCTTACTACCCCGAGTACCTGATCAACCTGGTTCAGGGGCAGCTGCAGACTCGCCAGGCCAGTTCCATCTATGATGACAGCTACCTAGGTGAGCAAGCAAGTGGGGAAGGGATGGCAGAGGGAGAACCTCAAGTGCTCCTGTCCCCACTCACCCCCTTGTCTCCCCTCTCCTACGCGGGCATCCCCAGCACCCCTGCCATACTTGCCATGTGCCTGCTGACTATGAAGGCCCAGCAGGGGTGGGGAAGGGATTGGGGGATAGGCCAGAGCAGAGGGGTCCCCAAAGCAGGAATCCTAACATCCACCCACTCTGTCCCCCAGGATACTCTGTGGCTGTAGGTGAATTCAGTGGTGATGACACAGAAGGTGAGTGTGTCCCCAGGCTGGGGCCAAGGGAGGGGGGTGGTTAGAGGCTCAGGGTCAGACAGCCTGTGAACTCGGCCACTTACCATTATCTACTTCCCTTTCCCCGACCTTAAGTCACAACTTTCTCTTCTCTCTGCAGACTTTGTTGCTGGTGTGCCCAAAGGGAACCTCACTTACGGCTATGTAAGACCCAGCCTGACCCCTCACTTCCTCTCCTCCCCTGCCTAATCACAAAGAACCATGCATGGCAGTTTGCAAGGGCTCAGAAAGGTGGATCAGAACACGGGCTCTGGAGGCAAACTGGCATTCAAGTTCTGGCACTTACTCTGGCAGAATCATTCTGCTCTTTATTCATACTCTGCTTCCTGCTGAACCTCTCTGAGCCTCCTTCTTCTCTGTATACTGGGATAACAATCGTTCTGACCTCACGAGGCTCTGGCAAGGATGAAATGAGAAAATGCATGTGAAAGTAGTCAGTGAATTGTTGGGCAATGTACAACTGGCAGATGTTATTATTAGACGAGGACAAGTGCTCTTAAAAAGATACAGATAAGAGTGCCAGCGGAGTTCATTCAATTAACAACATTTATTAAGGCAAGGTAAGAGATAAGAAGATGAATAAGGTATCATACCCCATCTTATAAGATGCTTCTAATCAAGTATGATAGATAAGACACTCATACAATTATGATCTAAAGTGGAGCAACTATTCATTCTCTTCTCTACTCAGGGCATCAGGCACTATCTATTCATGATTTCTATTCTTCACAACAAGCCTATGGGGTAGATATTATCATTTGTATTTTACATGTGAGAACACTGAGGTTCTAAGAGACCAAGTAAGTTCCTTAAGATCAACCAGTTAGTAAGTAGGTTTAAAATCAGGTCTCTCGGCCGGGCGCAGTGCCTCATGCCTATAATCCCAGCACTTTGGGAGGCCAAGGCGGGTGGATCACGAGGTCAGGAGATTGAGACCATACTGGCTAACACGGTGAAACCCCGTCTCTACTAAAAAAAAAAAAAAATCCAAAAATTAGCCGGGCATGGTGGCGGGAGCCTGTAGTCCCAGCTACTGGGGAGGCTGAGGCAGGAGAACGGCATGAACCCGGGAGGCGGAGCTTGCAATGAACCGAGATCTCGCCACTGCATTCCAGCCTGAAGGTCTCTCTTAATCCAATATCAGCATTCTTTCTGCACTTTGCTAAACTTCAGAAAAGTGGATACAGTGACACAGCAGTTTAGGGGAAGGAATAATCTCCTTTCTAGGAAAAGGATGATAACAAGTTTGGGGAGTCAGGAAATAAAAATTTAAAATTTTTAAAAAGGAAGAGGACAGATCAGAGAAGGTTCTATGAAGGTTCAGCAGAGATGAGGCAGGAGGGCATCCTGTGCAGGAGCATGAACGAGGTGGAAGAAAAGGAAACAATTTCAGCCCAGCTTAGCAGACTCATGAGCTGATTGAGGATGAGTAGAATATGGAAAGGTTGAGCAAAAAAAGATAGGTTAGGGCCACATTCTCCAGAGCTTTGGAGGACCAGCCAAGAAGTTGAGACTTTGGGCAGTGACTGCAGGGAGCCACTGGATTTCCAAGCCAGAGGTAGCCTCCTAAATCTGCTGGGAGAGCTGGAGGCAGAGACATTGTCAAGACATCTGTCCAGCAGTCCTGGGAAAGGGTTCATACCAGGATTCAAGAAGCCTGGTGGGGCCAGTCACTAATGGAACATAGGGGAGACATGGTGTTTGTGGTTCAGGGGACTGGAGGATGAGGATGACTTAGGTTTTAAACATGATGGGTTTGAGGCACCGGTGCACATTCAGTCATAATTATTATTGAGTGCCTACTACTCACCAAGCACGACTTTAGGCTCTGAGGAGAAAGCAAAGGACAAAATCAAGTTCCTGCCTCTATTGATCTTACATTCTAGTGGGTAGAGAGGGACAAGGAACAGATAAATACAAATCTGTCAGTAGTTGGTGATTGATATGCAGAAAAATAGTGGAGCAGACATAGGGTGGAGCTACCTGGCATAGAGGTGGGAATATGAGGGCAAAGCTGATGAGGGAGCTAGGGACAGTGGTCTGCATCTCTAAGGAACACCTGCCCCTAAGTGTCCTGTACACATCTGTTCTTTAACCATGGGATACTCTGGGATTCCAGGACCAATGGGCCTATCTCTTCATCCCCCAGGTCACCATCCTTAATGGCTCAGACATCCGATCCCTCTATAACTTCTCAGGGGAACAGGTAAGGATACCTCTCAATCCCACCCCAGCTTGGCCCTCTGCCAATGAAGCCCCAGCCCTGACCTGTGTCAGCCCAAATTCCCAGCCCTTCTTGATCCTGTGTATTGAACCTTCTAGTTCTGACCCAGCGCTGCCCCTTTGTCCTCCCCAGATGGCCTCCTACTTCGGCTATGCAGTGGCTGCCACAGACATCAATGGGGACGGGTGAGCAGTGGGAAATGAGCTCACTGTGATACCTCTCCCAGCTCCAGGAGGGAAGAGTGGGAATGGGACAGAAAATGCAAGGAGAATTTCTCCAGGGCTTTTTCTCTAGACTCTCGCTTATACCTGCATTCCCCTTGCTCAGGGACAAGGAAAGCTGAGAGCTAATGATCAGAGACCTCAGGTCTTCTGACTCGATGGAATCCAGAGTGCCTGGGGTTTCTGACACTAGGATTGGGGTGGGGTGGCAAGACAGGGTATCGAGATGCCTGGGTTTGCCCTTCCCCTCAGGCTGGATGACTTGCTGGTAGGGGCACCCCTGCTCATGGATCGGACCCCTGACGGGCGGCCTCAGGAGGTGGGCAGGGTCTACGTCTACCTGCAGCACCCAGCCGGCATAGAGCCCACGCCCACCCTTACCCTCACTGGCCATGATGAGTTTGGCCGATTTGGCAGCTCCTTGACCCCCCTGGGGGACCTGGACCAGGATGGCTACAATGGTGAGTACCATGGGCTCAGAGAGTGAAAGGGGAGGCAGGGGCCCAAGTCAGAAGGGATTTGGGGAGAGGGCGTCTGTCAGCTAAGATACCCAGACCTCCATGACTTCCGGAGGGGTTAAAATCCCACTGTCTGGGTCTTGGGATTTCAAGAGACTAGAATATAGGGACTGACAGACGGGAAAAAACTAGGATCCTAGGTCCTGGGGTCTGGGAGTAGAGATTTGGGCCCCTGGATTCCTGGCCTGCTGACTAGTGTGTGTTCTGTGTCTTCCAGATGTGGCCATTGGGGCTCCCTTTGGTGGGGAGACCCAGCAGGGAGTAGTGTTTGTATTCCCTGGGGGCCCAGGAGGGCTGGGCTCTAAGCCTTCCCAGGTTCTGCAACCCCTGTGGGCAGCCAGCCACACCCCAGACTTCTTTGGCTCTGCCCTTCGAGGAGGCCGAGACCTGGATGGCAACGGATACCCTGGTGAGTTGTGCCTGAGGCCCCTTTTCACCTTAAAATTCACTGGTCACTGACCCCTACCCTCTCTTCTTCACCTTTCCTGAAGTTCCTGGGTGCAGTTCTAGCTAATTCCAACAGAGGGCGCTGTCTTCTCACTTCAGCCTCCCTGAGCATTGAAACCAGGAGGGGTTAGGAAGAAAGGATCCTGATTTGGGGCTTGCTGTAAGAGGTGATTTCTTGACTTCTTACAGATCTGATTGTGGGGTCCTTTGGTGTGGACAAGGCTGTGGTATACAGGTATGAACTCCAAGGGGAGTTGAGGGGACAACCTGGGGGAACTGGAACTGGAAATTTCTCAACAGAGCTGAGGTTGGGAAAATCAATGCAGAGGACACACACTCTGGGGCTTGGGCATCAGTTTCCTGTGTCCAGGTTACAGAGGAGTCCTAATTCTATTGACCCCACATCCACTCTTGGCAGGGGCCGCCCCATCGTGTCTGCCAGTGCCTCCCTCACCATCTTCCCTGCCATGTTCAACCCAGAGGAGCGCAGCTGCAGCTTAGAGGGGAACCCTGTGGCCTGGTGAGCTGGCGCCCAGGGAATTGCAGAGACCTGAGCCTGGGAGTGGGCAGGGGCACCAAGTCTGCCTTCAGAAGGGGAAAAATGGGGGTGTCCTAGTCTGGGTCTGGCTGGGAGATAGGTAGAGGATAGGATGTGTGTTCCAGTTGGATTCACCAGCTTTCTTCTTGGTCTTTCTCCAGCATCAACCTTAGCTTCTGCCTCAATGCTTCTGGAAAACACGTTGCTGACTCCATTGGTGAGGGAGACTGCCTGGATCGCTCAGGCCCTAGGACAGGGAACGAAGGGACTGGGTACCTGGGGACATTTCTTCTCTCTGAAAAGATGAGGAGAGACAAACAGTTTCCCCTTATATGTCCCTGGCTGCAGGCTTCACAGTGGAACTTCAGCTGGACTGGCAGAAGCAGAAGGGAGGGGTACGGCGGGCACTGTTCCTGGCCTCCAGGCAGGCAACCCTGACCCAGACCCTGCTCATCCAGAATGGGGCTCGAGAGGATTGCAGAGAGATGAAGATCTACCTCAGGGTATAGCCCAGAGGGCGGGGTGTGGACTGGCCAGGGAGGGTGGCCACATAGAACTGAGGGCACCTCCTAAAGGGAAAAAGATTGGGGGATTCCAGTGTCGGGTTTGGGACTCTTGTGGGGACTGAGAAAGGGAGACCTTCTGTCAGAGGAGCTGGGAAGCAGGCTGCCAGCGCCTCTGAAACAATAAGAATGGTCAGAATTGGGCCCTAAGCAGACAAAGGGATATGAGAGAGGCTGAGGAGCAGGACCACCAAGTCTCCAGAGTCCCCTGACTCTGTGAACTCTCTCCTCTGTCCCCAGAATGAGTCAGAATTTCGAGACAAACTCTCCCCGATTCACATCGCTCTCGACTTCTCCTTGGACCCCCAAGCCCCAGTGGACAGCCACGGCCTCAGGCCAGCCCTGCATTACCAGAGCAAGAGCCGGATAGAGGACAAGGTGAGGACAGGGCAGGGAGAAGGGACCTGGGAGGACAGAGGCCTGGGTACTGTGGGGGCAGGGCCCTGGAAAGAGAAGAGCCTATAGCGCAGGAATGGGTCTAAACTTCCCCTCTCAAGGCTGCCCTGCTCCCCAGGCTCAGATCTTGCTGGACTGTGGAGAAGACAACATCTGTGTGCCTGACCTGCAGCTGGAAGTGTTTGGGTAAGTAGGGCTGACTAGCTAGGGAGTTCCAGGTGCACCTGGCACCTGAAAGAGTCAGCTAGGGACATACTAGCTGTGTAGCCTTGGGAAGTTGCTCAGCTGCTCTGAGCTTTAACTCTTTTGTCTGTATAGTGGGAATAGTAGCATTGATTTCTCAGAGTTTTTAGAAAGATTAAATGAAATAATCTACATAAAAAATCCAGCCTAGTGCCTGCCATAGAGTTAGAACTCAGTAAACAGTATCTATTATTACTGTATTATTACTCTTTTTTTTTTTTTTTTGAGACGGAGTCATGCCCTTGTCGCCCAGGCTGGAGTGCAGTGGCACAATCTCGGCTCACTGCAACCTCCACCTCCCAGGTTCAAGCAATTCTCTGCCTCAGCGTCCCAAGTAACTGGGATTACAGGTGCCCGCCACCATGCCTGGCTAATTTTTTTATTATTATTATTTTTAGTAGAGACCGGGGTTTCACCATCTTGGCCAAACTTGTCTTGAACTCCTGACCTCGTGATCCACCCGCCTCAGCCTCCCAAAATGCTGGGATTACAGGCGTGAGCCACCATGCCCGGCCTCGTATTATTACTCTTATAATTGCCCTTTGTCCTAGTTTGAGGATTAATTCCCCAGTTTCCCTTACCCTCTGTGTCCCTTCCAGGGAGCAGAACCATGTGTACCTGGGTGACAAGAATGCCCTGAACCTCACTTTCCATGCCCAGAATGTGGGTGAGGGTGGCGCCTATGAGGCTGAGCTTCGGGTCACCGCCCCTCCAGAGGCTGAGTACTCAGGACTCGTCAGACATCCAGGGGTGAGATGAGATTCTCCAGTGGGAGTTGGGAGGATACCTCTCCAGAGAGGACACCAAAACCTGACCAGTGCTCACCCCACCTCCAGAACTTCTCCAGCCTGAGCTGTGACTACTTTGCCGTGAACCAGAGCCGCCTGCTGGTGTGTGACCTGGGCAACCCCATGAAGGCAGGAGCCAGTGTAAGTCTGGGATGAAGGAGGATGGGACAGAGGGAGAGCAGACCTGAGGGCAGTAACCAGCCAGCCGAGAGCACCGCTGTGAGATGGGGAGGGAGAGTGAAATACACAGTCCAACTGCCCTCTTTTCCTCTTGTTCTGTCCCCAGCTGTGGGGTGGCCTTCGGTTTACAGTCCCTCATCTCCGGGACACTAAGAAAACCATCCAGTTTGACTTCCAGATCCTCAGGTAGGGAGTGAGTGTGTCTAGGCTGGGGCTGAGCTGGGGACAGAAGGGAGGGCTGGGCACAGTTCTCACTGGCTGCACTCTAGCACCTCAGTCTTGCCTCCATCCCACAGCAAGAATCTCAACAACTCGCAAAGCGATGTGGTTTCCTTCCGGCTCTCCGTGGAGGCTCAGGCCCAGGTCACCCTGAACGGGTCAGTGCCAGGCAGAATGGGGTCTTTCTGAGAGGGGAGACAGACTTCTAGGGAAGGATGCATGTGGGGTTCTTTCCACCCTCCCCTAAACCACCCTCCTCCTTAGTGTCTCCAAGCCTGAGGCAGTGCTATTCCCAGTAAGCGACTGGCATCCCCGAGACCAGCCTCAGAAGGAGGAGGACGTGGGACCTGCTGTGCACCATGTCTATGAGGTAAGGAGGGAAAGGGGCAGGGCCAGAATGAATGAAGGGAAAGGAGTAGTAGTATGAGTGACAGATGGCTGGAACCCACGTGAGGTACTGAGAGAAAGAGAGGAGGGAGGGGTAAGTGATATGCAAAGGCATGAGGCAGAGTCCTGTGAGAAACAGCCAGAAGACAGACAGGCCAGTTGAGTGGCTTGGAAAGAAAGATGGAGCCCGCTCCAAAAGTGTTGGCTAGAGAGGATTTCACCTCTGCCCATCGCTTCCCTGCTTCATCTCTGAGATAGGAGCCCGACAGCAAGGTATAGGGGAGCCACAGTGATCCAGGGTCTCAAGGGGGCAGAAGCATTCCCTTCCTTCTCATGATGATTGTGCTCTTCCCTCCTCAGCTCATCAACCAAGGCCCCAGCTCCATTAGCCAGGGCGTGCTGGAGCTCAGCTGTCCCCAGGCTCTGGAAGGTCAGCAGCTCCTATATGTGACCAGAGTTACGGGACTCAACTGCACCACCAATCACCCCATTAACCCAAAAGGCCTGGAGGTGAGGGCCTGAACACTGGCATGGGGAAGAGGAGCAGGTTCAGAGGACCAAGGCGGAGGGATTGGGGAAGGTTGCTGGGGGCCTGCAAGAGGCAATGAGGATGTGCCTATAGCTAGGGCTGAGGGTCACAAGGCCCAGAGGTACCTCAAAAGCCTCTGGAGGAAAAAGGACTTTCAACCACTGTGTTTTTCTGCTTGAACTATCCCTTCTTTGTTTCCTGGCATACCCCTAGGGCCCAGTTATGTGCCACCTCCTCTAGGAAGCCTTCTTCAAACCTTTTCCTCTGGGTCCCAATGCCTGTTTTATAGTTCATTTACTCGTTAACATTTAATTAAATAAGTGCCTGTACTGAACACTGTTAGGCCCAGGAAATATTGTACCAAACAAAACTGACAAGGTCTCCACGTTCATGGAACTTACATTCTAGTGAAGGGTGATAGACATAGAAAATAGAAAGAGAAGGAGAAAAATTAACAGGGATTGAAAAGTGATGAAGTGAAGTGTTAATAAGCTGTGGGGATACGATTTAAATTGAATCACCAGAAAACCTCTTGAAGACGTCACAGCTGAATTGAGGCCTGAAATATAAGGTTGAACCTATCTGTAAGACTCAGGAATGAGCATTCCCAACCGAGAGAACAGCCAGTGCAAAAACAGGAACATAGACGTAATTATTTATTTAAGCATCTCCTCCAGCGTGAACTCTAAGAACCAAGTTTTCTTCATTTCCATATTTTAACCCCGAGCTCGGTGCCTTGCACAGAGGAGGCGAAGAGTTGGATGATCAATAAAGAGATAGATGAAAGAATAGGTTGAAGTTGCTCTGGAACCCAGGTGCCCGCCGACTCAGAAGCTGTAATGAGATGGGAAAGGGGCCCAAATACTCTCTTTATCTTATAGTTGGATCCCGAGGGTTCCCTGCACCACCGGCAAAAACGGGAAGCTCCAAGCCGCAGCTCTGCTTCCTCTGGACCTCAGATCCTGGTAAGTCAGACAGGGAATGAGGTGTGGAGGAAAGCGTTGAGTACTTGTTTGGGTTCTCACAGCCATCACAAGGGCAGAACACCAGGTTCAAGCTTCTTTCTTCCTAGAAATGCCCGGAGGCTGAGTGTTTGAGGCTGCGCTGTGAGCTCGGGCCCCTGCACCAACAAGAGAGCCAAAGTCTGCAGCTGCATTTCCGAGTCTGGGCCAAGACTTTCTTGCAGGTGAGGGAGCCTTACCTCAGCCCTGACCCCTGACCTTTGGGCCTGCTTAGACTGACCCACCCCTTTCTCCACTACAGTAGCCACCTCTCCTTTGGTGAATGGGATCCAGCACTCCAGCTCCCCTTCCTTGCCCTTGTCTAGACCAGGCTATATGTCCTTGGCGCCACCTAGTGACCACAGTGGGAGCAGCAGCTTCCCTTTCCTGGCCCATTCAGAGGAGGGAGGGCTGGAGGGAGACCAGTGTGCAAAGAATGATAGAAAAACAGTGAGATGGAAGATGAATCCATAGTGGAGAGGTAAGCACATGTAGGAATAGTAAAGAGCAGTCACTTCTTGAGCACACACTGCAGACCAGGCACTGTCCTGGTGTCAAAGTACATTAATAATTCAAAAAAAGTTTTTATTGAACATGTAGTCATCTAATTATATATTATCCAGTTACAATTATTCAGTTACACATTTGTTATCCCATATAAGGAACATCAAGAGAGGCTCAGGGGCCAGGCACAGTGGCTCACACCAGTAATCCCAGCACTTTGGGAGGCCGAGGTTGCAGATCACTTGAGCCCAGAAGTTTGAGACCAGCCTGGGCAACATGGCAAAACTCCACTTCTACAAAAACAAAACAAAACAAAAATTAGGTGGGCACGATGGCACATGCCTAAAGTCCCAGCTACTTGGGAGGCTGAGGCAGGAGGATTGCTTGAGCCCAGGAGGTAGAAGTTGCAATGGCCTAAGACCACACCACTGCACTCCAGCCTGGGCGACAGTGTAAGACCTTGTCTCAAAAAAGAGAGAGAGAAAGAGAGACTCAGGAAGAATGAGTCCAAAATAGGGAAAGATCACAACCCCAGCCAGACCATGGGGAACCCTATGTCCTCTGGATCCCAAGAGAGGATGTGCTGACCAACTTTCCCCCACCCACAGCGGGAGCACCAGCCATTTAGCCTGCAGTGTGAGGCTGTGTACAAAGCCCTGAAGATGCCCTACCGAATCCTGCCTCGGCAGCTGCCCCAAAAGGAGCGTCAGGTGAGTCTAGGGCCAGAGGACTGGACGAGGGAATACAGGGCTCAGAGTGCTGGAACTAGGGCTGGGACATGGGTGAGGGCTGGCCTTGGTATTATTAACAACTGTTGAGAATCTAATATGCGCCAAGCACTGTGCAGATGCCAGAGACAGCGTGGTAAGCAAGACCAACATGGTATCTTTGCTCCTGGAGTTCACAGTCTCGTGGAACAACACAGTGTTCCAAGTGTGGTGATATTTATGAAAACACATAATAGGAACATCTGAACCCAGTCTAACTGGATCAGGGAAGGCTTCCTGGAAGAAGTGATGTTCAAGCTGAGACCTGAAGAATAAATAGGAACTAACCAGGCTAGTCATTCAGGAAAGGGATATCCTGGGGAGAGGTGAATAACAGATATGAGGCCGAGCGCAGGGGCTCACACCTGTAATCCCAGCACTTTGGAAGGCCAAGGCAAGCGGATTTCTTGAGCTCAGAAGTTTAAGACCAACCTGGGCAACACGGTGAGACCCTATCTCTACAAAAAAAATACAAAAATTAGCCAGATGTGATGTCGCACATCTGTGGTCCCAGCTACTCGGGAGGCTGAGGCAGGAGGATCGCTTGAGACCAGAAGGCAGAGGTTGTAGTGAACCGAGATCGCACCACTGCCCTCCAGCCTGGGTGACAGAGTGAGACTCTGTCAAAGAAAGAAATGGATATGATATGAAAGCCCGAAAGTAAGAGACAATATTGCACATTTTAGGAACTTAAATTTTTAAGCTCAGAATGCTGTTAGTTCAAAATAAGAGGTGGGAAGTGGGTCTAGATCCAATGACAAGTGGAGGCCAAGTATAGGGTGGAAAGAACTTCTGAGCTTTCATTGACTTCACCCAACTTGCTCCCCAGGTGGCCACAGCTGTGCAATGGACCAAGGCAGAAGGCAGCTATGGCGTCCCACTGTGGATCATCATCCTAGCCATCCTTTTTGGCCTCCTGCTCCTAGGTCTACTCATCTACATCCTCTACAAGGTCAGCCACATCCTACTTGTGACTTGGCCACCCTCTCATCAGGCTCTGCCCTTGACCTGGCACAGTCCCAAGTATCTACCTCTAGACCAGTTCACCAGCCATGTGCTCCCACCTCTGTCCTGGCTACATGCATCCCATCCTAACCCTTCCTATAGGATCCCTCCCTACATTCTGTAGCCCCTAGCTTAGAAAGGGTCCTCTTGACTCAAGACAGTAAGTTTGCCTATACTTGGAAAATCAGTGGAACCCACAGATTACAAATACATGGCATTTGTGCTGTCAGTTTCTCCAAAAATCCATGGCAGTCATCACTAACCTAGAAATGGCTACTGATCATCTCCTAGAAGTGGCTTCAGAATCTCTCTCAAGAGGCAGCCATGGCCAAGTGTGTGGCTCACCCCTGTAATCCCAACATTTTGGGAGGCCAGGGTGGGAAGGCAGCTTGAGCCCGGGGAATTCAAGACCAGCCTGGGTAGCACACTAGGACCTTGTCTCTAGAAAAAAACACAAAGATTAGCCAGGTTTGATGGTGCGTGCCTATGGTCCCAGCTACTCTGGAGGCTGAGGTGGGAGGATCGCTTGAGCGCAGGAGTTTGAGGCTACAGTGAGCCATGATCATGCCACTGCACTCCAGGCTAGTCAACAGAGTGAGACCCTGTCTCAACCAACAAACAAAAGCAGCCACTACTAAGCAATCAGACTGGCTGCTTGAGTTCAAACCTATCTGCCATTTCTGGCTTAACAGGGGAATTTTAAAGACACTGGTAAAAGATACCCACCATACAAAACCACCCCCAAGTTTAGTCCTCCTGGGTCCATTGCACAACTTGGAGGGGTAATCCTAGCCTGAATTCAGAGGCCACTTTGCAGGATGTAGAGGCTGGAGGCACTAGAGTCCTCCTTATTACTTCTTGGGATAAGAGCTGTGGAGAAAAGGCAACCATAGTACCTAAACTCTCCCTCTTTTCCCCTTTATCAGCTCGGATTCTTCAAACGCTCCCTCCCATATGGCACCGCCATGGAAAAAGCTCAGCTCAAGCCTCCAGCCACCTCTGATGCCTGAGTCCTCCCAATTTCAGACTCCCAATCCTGAAGAACCAGTCCCCCTACCCTCATTCTACTGAAAGGGAGGGGTCTGGGTACTTCCTGAAGGTGCTGAGGGCCAGGGAGAAGCTCCTCTCCCCAGCCCAGAGACATACTTGAAGGGCCAGAGCCAGGCGGGTGAGGAGCTGGGGATCCCTCCCCCCCACGCACTGTGAAGGACCCTTGTTTACACATACCCTCTTCATGGATGGGGGAACTCAGATCCAGGGACAGAGGCCCCAGCCTCCCTGAAGCCTTTGCATTTTGGAGAGTTTCCTGAAACAACTTGGAAAGATAACTAGGAAATCCATTCACAGTTCTTTGGGCCAGACATGCCACAAGGACTTCCTGTCCAGCTCCAACCTGCAAAGATCTGTCCACAGCCTTGCCAGAGATCCAAAAGAAGCCCCCAGCTAAGAACTTGGAACTTGGGGAGTAAGACCTGGCAGCTCTGGACAGCCCCACCCTGGTGGGCCAAGAAGGAACACTAACTATGGATGGTGCCCCAGGACCAGCTCAGGACAGATGCCACAAGGATAGATGCTGCCCAGAGCCCAGCTCGAAGGGGAATCAGAACTCAAATGGGGCCACATCCAGCCTGGGGTCTAGAGTTGATCTGGAACCCAGACTCAGACATTGGCACCTAATCCAGGCAGATCTGGGACTATATTTGGGCCTGCTCCAGACCTGGTCCTGGAGGCCCAGTTCACCCTGCTTTAGGAGAAGCCAGGAATTTCCCAGGACCCCGAAGGGGCCATAATGGCAACAGATCTGGAACCTCAGCCTGGCCAGACACAGGCCCTCCCTGTTCCCCAGAGAAAGGGGAGCCCACTGTCCTGGACCTGCAGAATTTGGGTTCTGCCTGCCAGCTGCACTGATGCTGCCCCTCCTCTCTCTGCCCAACCCTTCCCTCACCTTGGCACCAGACACCCAGGACTTATTTAAACTCTGTTGCAAGTGCAATAAATCTGACCCAGTGCCCCCACTGACCAGAACTAGAATCTGTGATCTCATACCTCACTCTTTCCAAACCCATCCTGGAACCAAGCGGCTTGGTGGAAAGTAGATGCCTATTTCTCTCAGGCTTCTTTCCACTCGGGGCCAGAAGTACGACCCCCTAGACACTGTGAAACTAGTTCTGGATTCCCTTCTTAAGTGAAAGATGTGATGGAAGGAGAGAAAGCAGGACGTGACTCCTCTCCCCCTCCCGCATCCCCCATCAGATCTGGTCCCCAACACTCCCAAGGGAAAAACGAAAGGAATCTCTTCTCTTTGGGTTTGAGGATTAGAGAAGAAAGCAAAGGGGGAGGTCCAAGGTGGAAGTGGGGAAGGATGGTTCAGAAAATTTCCCAGGCTTCCCTAAATCAGAATAATGAAATGAGAGGAAAAAGCCATAGAACTAAATTAGAAGAAAGCCCAGTTAGGTTTTTGTATTGCTTTGTTTTCATTGCTACTGTGTGCTGGTAGGGGGTGTTAGTTTGCATACATTTAATTGCTCACAGGGTTCTGTGAGGTTGGTACTATTAATCCCATTTACACAAAGAGAAACTGAGGCCCAGAGAGGTTACATAACTTGTGCAAAGTCACACAGTGAGTGGCAGAACAGAGTGAAACTCAGCGTTATCTGACTGGGAAAGTCCGAATTCTTAACCAACATGCCACAGGGTTCAGATCTTTGAAGATAAATCATGCAAAGTGAGGGATCCTCAGGGTCCTCCTTTCTCCTCAAGGCCTGTCACAACATGCAGCAAGAGGGAGAGCAATTGGGGTTGTTGGAGACAAAGATGTCCCTGTCAGGATAGACTAAAATTCAGCCACCAGAGGGCAGCATAGCCACAAATTTATGGGAAATTTGGGAAGGTAGGGTATGAGGTCCACCTCACCCTCTTCCCCCATCACCAGGACTATTCTCATTAACTCAGGCTCCTGCCTAGCAGGGCCTGCATAAAATATCCCTCCTGGGAGACCAAGCCTGGACCACGCTCCAGTCTGTGACTTCTTAGAATGCTCCGAGTCAGGAATATCTTCACAGAACCCATAAATGAAAAGGAGCTGATGGAGTAGAAGAGGCAGCATGAGACAAAGAACCCCCTAGCATTTCTAAGAATGGCAGCCATGGCATAACAAGGCACCAGAAATTCTAGAGGGAGGAAATCGCATACTGGATACATTAAGAGGAGTCCCCCTCTTGGGAGAGAGCTGAGGGTAGAAGCAGCCAAACTTCAGGCGCCAGACCTAAAATGTCTTCCACTGTTGTGAGGAGGAAATAAGGAAGGGAAGTGGGCTGTGGAAACTGGGCTGGTGTCATAGGTGTGTCACTGTGTAGGGCCTGTACTTCTGAGACAGTGACAAGTTCTTACCCGGGATGCACAATACAAGGAAGAAATTCCTTGAGCTCAGAAATGCCACAGACGTAATCTAGTATGAGCCTCTCTTTCCCTGAGCTGTAATTCTCAGACTCCTGGTCTAAGTTTCTTCTCCCAGATCTCCCAACCCTCCGAAGGAAGTGTGACTCCCACCTTGAGACTTAAGTGTAGGGGGACCAGAAATGTAGGGGGCCAGAAGGCCTGAGCCCTATCCTTGGCTGTGTTGGTAGAGATGAAAAGGAGAAGGAAAGGAGGTCTTAGGAAGTGAACAGAGCAGCTGGGGGTGCAGGGAGGGGGAGGGGGCTCAGGAGAGGCAGCTGGCAGATGGGAAGCTGATCTGGGGGTCTCAAGTTTCTTGACATCAATTAGAGCAGCCGGCCTGGGCTCATTAGTAGCCCGGGGTGCAGGGCTCATCAATAATGAATTCACCCCACACACCTTCCCCCCACCCCAGCTGCCTGCAAGGTCACCCGTCCTCTAGCCAGCTGCCGCCCCTTGGTAAGCTTAAGCAACCCCTCTTCTGAGATCTTCCTAACCCAGAGTCCCTGGGGCAGCGTGGCAGGGTGGACAACAGCTGAGGGCAAAGGGGTCTCTAAAACCAATCGACCATGCCTGATAATGACTCTTGTTTACTCTCTGAGTCCACCCAAGAGGAGAAAGAATGGGAAGAGGAAAGGAGGGGCAGGGTCTAAGGATAAGCAAGGGTTTTTCATACTGGAGTTGACCAGCATGGTGGCAGGACAGACCCAGAGCAGGAGGACCTCCTCTGATGGACCCAGAAACCCCATATCCTCTCCCAACGCCAGACTTGGGCAGCAAGGCCAATCACCTGAGATCTCTGCCCCACTGAATCAGAAGGAGACTAAGGCATTGGCACTCCCAGCATTCTCTTGCCCTTGAGCTGGAGTGTCTTGGTAGGTACAGAAACAGGTCTTTTCTTCAAACCAGATTACTGGGGTGAGGGCAAGAGATTGCTGGGACCCAGAAACAGAAACTCAAACTTCCTGCACCTTCCCAATTTCCCTCCGGAACCCAGGAATGTCAGTCTCTTTCCCCTTCCTAAACTGTTCTAAAACTTCAGTCCCACCACCCTTTCACCGACTTCTTCCCCTCCGCTTCTACCTGCCTAAACCTCAAACGTTCCAGTTCCCACCCACTTTTCCTCTGATTGGGGTTGGCCTGAAGCTAACTGTGTGGCATTCTGGGAAATCTGCCTGCCACCCTCCCTCTTGAGACAAGTACAGACAAGTTCAGGCTCCATATTCCCCAGACATCTGCAGTGTCCCAGACTCCAGCCCTGTACTGGAGTCCCTTAAGAATACCTCTGAGTGGACTGGGTATGGTGGCTCACACCAATAATCCCAGCACTTTGAGAGGCCGAGAAAGGCAGATCACCTGAGGTCAGGAGTTCAAGACCAGCCTGGCCAACATAGTGAAACCCTGTCTCTACTAAAACTACAAAAATTAGCCAGGTGTGGTGGCGGGCGCCTGTAATCCCAGCTACTCTGGAGGCTGAGGTAGGAGAATTGCTTGAACCCAGGAGGCAGAGGTTGCAGTGAGCTGAGATTGCACCACTGCACTCCAGCCTGGGCGACAGAGCGAGACTCGGGTCTCAAAAAAAAAAAAAAAGAAAAGAAAAGAATACCTCCAAGTGGCATGTACTTCCTCTCCCTCCTGACATTCTCCCCAGCTCAGACATTTTGTCCTACCCTCCATCTTCCCCTCCACCTCACCAAATACCCTCATGCCTCCCCACCAGTCCTCTTCAATCGAAGCTGGCCTTAGTGGGGAATGCCCCAGATTTAGGCCCTGGATAGATGCTCCCCGACGCCACCCCACCCCAATCCAGGTCATCTCTACAAGGTGCCTCAGTTCTCAATTTTCTGTCATCTTCCAGTTGCCCTAATGATCTCAGTTACAAGCTTCTATTTCCATCTCCTCAGGTCCATTGATTGCAATCTCTTCGCTGAGACCTTCCCTAACGACCCAGGCATTCAGACCCCAGCCAGAACTCAACCTGGGATCCATCTTCAACATCCCATTTCACCTCAGAGGCCCAGCCCCCAGGCATCCTGCTCCAAAGCCAGAACAACAAATTAGGACCCACACAATTTCTGCTGCACTTTCCCTGCCCCCTGCTCAGTCCATCACTCTGGAGGGAACCTAGGTATCCCACCCAACCCAAGGCCCATCGCCTCCCAAAGTACTTAGGCACCCCCGCCCGCCTTCCCCCGACTCCCCTTCCCACCCCATATCAGCCCAGAACCGGACTTCCCGCCCTCAGACTCAGCCCTTCTCGGGAACCCAGGCATCCTAGTTTCCAGCTTCGTCCATCACCTCACACCGTCTTCTACACGTCCTGTTCCCCCAGCCCTGGCCGCAGTGACACCGTAAACCCAGGAGGCCAGCAGGCAGCAAGAAGAAGGGCGGGAGGAAGCGGGAGGGGCCAGGACGCCCCCTCGCGGAGCCCTGAGTGCCCGGGTCCCCTCCTCCCGTCTTCACCTGCTAAGGGCCCCGCCCCCGCTCCGCCTCGGCCGGCCTCTGCTCCTCCCCGGCTCCTCCCCCCGTACCCCCAGCCCGGCCAGAACGGCCCCCGGGACAGAGCGACGCGGAACCCCGGGCGCCTGGGTCCCCAGCATGATCCTCGGTGAGTGGTCTCTGCGACTCCAGGCTCCCGGCTCCTGGGTTCCTCTCTGTGGGTCACCCACCGCCCCCCCCATCTCCCGGCACCGCGGTGACTGCGGCCGCCCGTCAGCGACCGGTTCCCCCTCCCCCTTCATCTGGCTCCACATCTGGGGTCCCCTCTTCCCCTCTTCCCCAGGCTGCTGCTGCTCCGGGTAATCTAGGGAGTGGTAAAGCGGGAGGCAGAGCGGAGTGAGACCCCCGCCCCATAATTAGAACATTGCGTATTCATGAGGCTCATGAATATTATATACCAGTCTACGAGAGGCTGGGGGAGGGGGCTGGTCCTGGCTTGGTGGAGTTGGGGGAAAGGTTCTGACCCGTCTCCCGCCCCAGCGTCTTCCCCCACCCTTAGCGTAGACACTCCGACATCCTTCTGGGCCCAGGATAAGGGGGAAAGGAGGAAGTGGGGGGGTGGAAGAAGAAGATGGTGGGTGTAGCTTCGAGGTGAGTGTGGTGGGAGGTGGGAACCTGAGGGCCGGAGATAAGAGGCTGGGGAGCAGAGGGACTGGGGAGCAGAGGGGCTGGGGAGAAAAGGGGGTGGGGAAGATAGGGGGTGGGAAACTGTCCATCCAGGGCTCCTGCGGCTCAGAGCCTGTCTCCACAGCCATCCTGCCCCAACACGCCGAGACCTGCCCCTCTCTCTCCCTGCTCTAGCTGCCTGAGTCCCTCTTTCCTGACTTCCTTCTTCTCCCTCCACCCCTGCCTTGGGCCGGGGGCAGCAGGAGAGGGAGGGGCAATGGAGAGGGTAAGGATGGGGGATGGGAACTCCCGCTGGGCTCTGACAGCCCGTCAGCCACAGCCACCCCATCCTCATGACCTACATCAGGAAGGGAGCCCCAGGGGTGGGGGAGGAAAGGGCCTAGCTGTGCTCTGGACTCTGCATCAGCACCGGCTGCAGGCTCCTGCCCTCCACCCTTCCTCCACAATAGTCCACAGGCCTGCTCTGACCT